GAGAAAACTCATGAGTGAGCCCTGCACTAAAAGCAACCGTCCAACAGAAAACAACGAGGTCGTTTAGTTTGTTGAGTTACGCCCAAGCTCCAATAACCAAGAAACTCATTTTTTTTCTCTTTCTCAACGGATGATGCGTTTGTTAGTGTTTTCTTTGTGGTCTCTGAACCAACTCTTCCCATCAAACATGTACACTTGTTCTTGTATCCACCTCATTTCGTTGTCCAACCATGTTCTTTTCGTCAAGTCATCTGTTGTGGTCCCTTTTTGTTGCTGCTGCCCTCGGCTACACAACAAACACCTATCATGCCCACATCACTTTCTTCGTCCATCCTTGCTATGTGACATCGTCTTTTATTCAAGTCAGGCCACTACAGTCATTGTTTACAGCGCATTTGCAATTCCTTCCTCCCTCGGGCCTTCTGGGCACATTGAGACGCGGCGACGAGGGCGTTCGCGCATAGAGTTTTCAAAACCTTAGTAAAACAGGGACGAGCTAACCATGTGTTTGCTTGATTGCTGTGAATGTGGAGGGTGGCGGGTGGTGGGAAAGTGAGGAGGAAGCATGGAGGGAGTCCACCAAACAGCTCTTTCTTCGAACAAGTCCTTCCGTCAAACATGACTAACTTTTTCCGGGCTGCTTTTGCCAATCGTTCTTCTCATTTTACGCGTCTCATTCTTGAAGTCATGGTCCACGGGTCACGCCAAGGATTAAACTACCAGCTGCCCAACAGCCAAGTAGCTAAACAAACAAAAACGTACCCCTTTTTATCTTCGTTCTTTACTTCCTTTTGCCCCAACTATTTCGTTTCTGACCAGAAGGGGCGAGTAAGCCCCTCCTCGTTTGCTTACGTGTTTTCTGTGCATTCTGTTGGTGTTTGATGTTGCTTTAGTTTCTCACGAGGCGATATGGCCTAAAGAAGAGGAAAGGAAAAGGGGTTGATGAAGGGTGCTAGCGCGGACATCGTCAGGAATGTCCGCTGACAATTCAACACATGGGCACTCTCCTAATTCACGATACCGTTCGATTCATCTACAGTAAGACTGGTCAGTCAGCTGGATAATGTCCATCCACCTCCCACCTTTGTTCTTTCTCTCCATCTACTTTTGAACCCTGAACAAACGAAGCAAATCAATCACAATAAACGCGTGTTTCTCTCTTATTCTTAAGACCTGCGCCTTGATCAATCACAAGCTCCGACAGAAAGCAGCACGCGTGGGATAGTTGAGGTGAGGAAGCGAAGCCTGTGGTCGGAAAAAGAAGGGAAAAGGCTAGGCAGAGGCGGGTGTTCAAAAACAACAAGAGTCAACAGGAACATCAACTAAGACTCACCAACTCCCTTCGGGCAGTAGGCGAAATGAAGGGAGGAAGGCAGCAGTAATAGCACCGAGGAAGTTCCATTAAGAGAACACATAGATAGACAAGGATAGGACTAGGAAAAACAAGGAAGGAGGTAATTGTATGTTAGGCGATGGAAGGTAGAAGGGTAGAATGTATGGGCTGTGAGATAGGACCATGTCGTACTATTTTCTTTTCGTTTAACTATTTTCTTGTCATTCGATGCAATTGTTCAAATGAGTGCACTTTCCCATGGGCACTGGCATCAAGAGGAAACAATCGTCATCGTCCCACACAGTCTACTTTTAACTCTCCATCATTTCCACCCTCTCCTCCACGTTCATGACTCGTCTTAAAACTGAATTGCAATTCAAGTTTGGGTGACCAAGAAGCTAAGGTTTTCGCGCTAGAGAGATATTTCTCACAAAGACTTCGAGACTCTATGAACTCTCCCTCCTCCCTCCCACAATTGCCACTCTCGTTGGCTCACCTTTCCTTTCTTTCTCTTGGACTTAGAGCTGAGATTGACATGGCGTTGTTGAGAAGGTTGGAGGACGATCCATTACAGTTTTGCTTTTCTTCTCAAAGACCCAGCGAAAAATTAGAAGGAAACCATAATTATCGTCAAAGCGTGCGACTTTTTTTTTTCAGTCCAGTTCGTTGTCGCCGGTGTTATTGTCGTTCGCAATCGATGTGGGCTGTCGATGGTTGTTGTTATTTTCGTTGACCCCCCCCCCATCTGTCTATCCATTAGACCATGTCTCTTGCCTATGGTTTAGCGATGTCGTTCCTTTGTTTACACACATACACAAACATTGTGCATAAAAAAACAACATGGGCGAATACACTAGCAACGACTTTGCATCTGTGGGGAAAGTAAGTGTAGGAGTGGGTTAAATGAGTACCTGCAAGAGCTAACAGAGCAAAAAAAGGGGGAAGATGGGCGATGACATGACTGACTGACCGCTCTCAGTTGCTACTCCACTAACACGGAACGGATGGTACGGCACTCTACTTCTCTGGTGGAACTTCTCCACGTTTTTGATCTTTGTTTTTGTTGTTGGTTTTGAAAACGCCCACGCCCAAAAAAAAGATTGGCAATCGCTGGCTCTCTGTCCTTTCCCTTCCCTTGTCCTTCCTTCTGTCTGTCCCGCACTTCTTTTCCGTCTGGCCGTCCAGTCCTTTGTGGGCCTTTTGTTATGGTGTAAGGTCCCAATCGCTAATTAATCACAATTCACAAATGAGCTATGAGCTATCCCTCTCCCTTCCCTCCATTCCGTCTATCCCTCCGTCTGTCCGTCATCCATCCCGTAACCTGCCACCAAACTCACCCACCAAAAAAAAAAAAAAACGAGGTGCCTTTACCCACCCTGCAGCTCTCTACTGTCCCCCATGTATTAGTGCAACCCCATAAAAAAACGGCAAAAAGCCATTAACGCTAATTACTTTTTTTTTTGGATCGAAGAAGCTCTTTTTGTGGGGCGCGAATAAAAGACCATAAAAAAACACAAGGTTATGGACTGAGCACACGTTTTCCGAGGAACACTGCCTGATGAGGGATATAGTTATTATCAATCAATGATTGTTCGGCGACTCACTCCTTCTTTGGGGACATTGATCAAGGAACAATTCTATCAGTCTGGGTCCAATTCATCACTGAACAACTCCATCAGCCTTGGGTCAGTGATCAAGGAATAACCCAATCGGTCTTGATTGTGCCACGGCATTTATGACTTCATTTCATCTACACCAAAGAGAGAGAGTGTGTGTGTTTGTGTGCACAACCTCATTTCTTTGTCGACTACGCTCAAGGCTGCGAACGAAAAATAAAAGGTACTCGCCAACAGTATGATATCCATTAGTCATGGCCGCGTTTTTTTTTGTTCTAGATGTCGTCTAGAACCTGAGTGATAACAGACAGAGGCGCCTCCAGACGCTTGTTTAAAACACTAATACTGAACGTCTCACCCATTTGTCTGACTCTTCTCCGTATAAAAAGGCACGCCACTTTTATTTAGATATTTCGCGCGGCTGACGCCTGAACAAGTGCAAGTTTCGTCATAATAAACTGTCCACCGAAAATAGGGGCAAAACGCAGAACAGAGTATACATAGACGGAATGGAAAAAAACGGACCAACGGTCATGCACATCACGTCGTTTTTTTTTTCCTTTCCTCCCTTCGTCTGATCCTTCTGTTCTCTTTAGAATCTGTTTGTTGTTCGTGCATGGTGCATAGCCAAGAAACAATTGGATAATCAGCGGCACAAACAACACACTACCAAAGGGAGGAAAAAAGAAAACGAGAGAGGGAAGGAGGGAAGGAAGGATGACTGAAAAGCCTCATCCGATAAGCTTTGATACAATGGGAGACAGAGAGAAGAGCGAGTGAGAGAGAGAGATCAAGAACGTAGCTTTGTTGTTTTCGTTTCTTGCGTTTAGTGGCCTTTCTTTTTTTTGTGCGCATGCATCGGACGGATAGATCCGATAGAACCAACAAAAAAAGACGTCAAGATCACAAAACAACGCAAGCAAGCACAACGAACGATAGGATCATGCATCGCAAAGAAAGAAGGAAGGGAGAGGGAGAGTACTACTGCGATTGGAACTGGCGCTGGTACTGATACTGGGCAGGAGGAACTTTCCTTGTGCCCCTGCTGTTTGCATGCCAAGAACTTGAGCTACTGATGCTCTAGGTTTTCTTGTATCCTTGCCCACAGTTGTAGTACCACCAAAAGGTGGAGTGGCGCAAAAAAAAGGGGGGGGTAGAGAGGAAGGAATAGTACATGAATGGGAAATAGTTTGGTAGGTTAAGGCTCAGATGTGGGTACAGATATGGGGCCTACTTCTGCCCTCCCCCAGAAAAAAAAATAGTTGATCACGAACGAGTGTGCGCGCACCAAGGGTGGGTGCGAATCGATTTCACTGTGGCGAAAATCGAGGGCCGAGAGGGTGCTCGTTTTTTTGACAGTCAGTCTTATGGACGAGCTGCACCGTGGGAGGTTGAACATAAAAATATGACAAAAGTAGAATTAGAGTGCAGAGTGCTGTAGTTGACGAGGTCCGGCCCCCCGCGGGAAACGAGACGAATACAAATTGTATTGGACATTGAAGGAACAAGGCAATGGATGGCCTGGTCTGAGCATTTTGGTTCTCAGCTGTGGGAGTTTTTTCTTGTTCAAGTTTTGGGTTTTTTTATTTTAGTAACTGTGGATGAAAAGATGTGTTGAAGGACAAGACTACACAAGTGGTGCCACTATTGATGATGAATGAATGCAATTAGAATTGAAGAGAGTGCAAGTGAAGTTTATGTTATGGTACAAGTGTGTATGTGTGTGAATGATATGCAACTAATAAAAGAGAACTGAGAAAGAAAAAACTAGCAATACAAAGAGAAATGGCGCCATGGGAGGAAAAAGCAACAGGTGGGTGAGCAAGGGCAGAGCTATGTACAGAATATGAAGGATAATAAGGGGCGATGAAAGGGTGGGAAAAAAAAGAAAAAAGGTCCAGGTCCAGCAGGAATAGAAGAAAGGGCTACTTGAGCAAAAATCCCTTTGGGTCATTCCTTGATGAGAGAAACCCGGCGGACGGACGGACTTTTTTTTTTTTGTGGGGTTGAAAGTCCACTTTAGGTGCGAAAAAAAAAAGAAAACAAACAAATTAGAAAGAAGGAAGGAGGGATGAGATGGGGGGCAGCTTGAAGTCTGATCCATTGTTGCTGTTGCTGCTGCCGCCGTGGTTGCTGTTGTGGCCGTGGTTGCTGTTGCCAGAGATCGAGGGCAAGGGCAGAGGGATGCGCTCGTGGCTACCCTGGGCGTGGTGGTTGTATCCGTAGGGACCGGCCGAGGAGGTCGAGGGGTACTGGTGACCAGGCTGGCGATGGGGGTGGTAGCTGCTCTCCATCATCGACGAAGGGTATCCAGAGTTGTGTGCCTTGAACTGAGGGTAGGGTGCAACCGAGTAGCGGGTCGCGCTTGAGCTGCCATAGCGGGGAGACATGGGAGGCGAGTAAGGAGGAGTGTGGAGCGTCTCACTCGTGGGATGTCCCTTGCTTGAAATGGGTCCGAGGTACTCTTGGGCATATTGCTGGCTCGGGTTATGCTGGTGGTATTGCTGTTGCTGAATGTGATGCTGTTGCTGCTGGTGTTCCATGTCGACGGCAGGAGCAGTGGTGGGATGGATGGGGGTCATCCTGGCCCACGAGGGGTACTCCTGTGGCTCGTCCGACTCTGACATTGAGGGAGACATTGGGTAGGGCGACATTGAGGAGCGGACAGTCGACGCAGGCGAATGAGACACGCTGTTGTTGTTACTGCTGCTACAGCTGGTGCTTGTGCTGGTGGTCTTGTCGTGAATGTCTTGGCCCACCTCGGCTGAGGACTTGCGGCTGCGAGAGCGTGCGAAATGGGTTCGGGAGTGCTCGCGAAGGGCATCGGATCGAGTAAAGCCCAGACCGCAGTTGTCGACGGGGCAGACAAACAGCTTTTCAGAGGTATGGGAGCGAATGTGGCGGGCCAAATGGCCAGATCGGGTGAAAGACTTGAAGCAGTTGGGGACGGGGCAGATATGCTTGCGAGCCCATTCGGCAGATTCTTGGGCCTGAAGGTAGTCCTGGTAGGTAGCATAGTGATGAGGGGAGGTCGAGAGGAGATCGGCATTGCCGTTCTTGCATGCCGACGTGTGGGCCTTCATGTGGCGGGTGAGTTCGTCTGAGCGCGAGAAGCGCTTGTCGCAGTTGGGGAAGTCGCAAGGGTGGGGCTTCTCGCCGGTGTGGGTGCGGATGTGGCGGGTTTGGTGCTCAAGGCGGAAGAAGGATTTGTCGCAAAGGTGGCACTCGTAAGGACGCGATGCCTGCATATCCTGATCGGATTCTGACGAAGAGGTGAAGGCCTTCATTATTATTATTAGGAAAGGGTTAAGAGTAGGGGTGGTGAAGGAGGAAGGATGGAGAGGGGCGAGAAGAGAAGGCGTCGTTTTATGTTGCGATGATGGAAACGAAAAATAGGGTCTTTAGGATTTTGAATTTATGTTTGGAAAAAGGGGTCGAGGTTGAAAGAAGGAAGGAAGAATAATCAGATGGATACAGTGTGTGGGGAGGGAGAGAAGGAAGGGTATGGAGATAGAAAATAGAAAGAAGTAAATGAAGGGAAGGGAAGGAAGGGGTGGTTGGGTGTGGAGAACAGAGATAGACGAAGACGAGGAAGAGAAGAGAAGAGAAGGAGTGGAGGATTGGAAGAAGAGAGGAAAGGAATTAGGGGAACGGCTTGACCTTTTATATGATCGATCCATTGAAGAGAGTGAAGGAGGGTTACTTGTTGCAGGTGTGTGGTGTACCAAATGACACTTATTGGCTGCTTATTACTATTCAATTCAATTGACTTACTCGAGCTGTTATCTTGCAAAGGTGAAGGTGCACCTGAATACCAAAAAGTGGTGTGATTGACATCCACAGAGATAGGAGGGAAGTGTATGTGCGCAAACACAGTGGAATTGTGTTTTTTAGTTTACTCCAATATATTATTCTCATGGGCAATGTCCTACCACCAATGCCCGCGGGCAGCAGCGATGGACTCAATTGCAAACAATACAAGCAGCGAGTCCATTTGGACATTCAAACGAAAAATATGATACGGTTAGCATCGCATCGCATCATCCTCCCTCTTTGCCTGTTGCTTTTGTTTGTTCTCTCCCTTCTCCCACACATACAAAACCCACACAGTTCTCACACCCACCTTTTATTTTTACTTTACTACCCGATTCAATTGACACTTTACTACGAGGCATGCCATATGTTAACTCTATCCAGGAACAAGCTCTTTACATGGCTTTGGCTCGACCCATCTAAAAGGAACCCAAAGATCAAGTTGTCTCTTCCTATCTTACCCCTTCTCCACTTCTTATTGTTTACACGGTTTTAGTATGCCCCTTTCTCCTCCCACAAACAGATGTCGTTATCGCTTCACCCACAAACTCTCTTTCTTCTCGCCATCTTTTTTTCAAATTGAATACCAAAATCCAACTCAATTGAGTCTTACTTACACTCCCTTTTCCTTCCCTCTCACTCTCCCAGTAAGCAACAAATCACAGCAACGTCCGTCCACGTTTTGTTCGTTGTGGTCCCTGAAGAGATCATTGTTCGCTTGGTGACAGGCAAACAGGTACTCGCCAGTCAGTCAGTCAGCACATCATGTCACTCCTTTGTAACAACATACTTTTGGCATAAACTTACTCAGTAAACGTTTCTTTTTTGCCAGTTCTCGTCTTTTCACAAGGCAAACAGGAGAAGGGGTATCATTCATGACTGATACAATCGGACCTCCTCCTTTCCCCTCCCTGACATGAACGGAAAACAAATGAGACGACGGGTCACTGAGAAAAGCAACTCATATATGTGGTCAATGGTGCAGTTATGTATGTGGCGAAAAGTGATGAGTGGTGTGTGTCTGTGTCTGTGTATGTGTGTGGGATATGTGTGTCAGAATGGTAATCATGGATCCTGCCCCTTCCCCTTGCTGTCTCTGGCAGCTGTCCCTTTGACAAAACAGAATTGGTCACAACAACTCACCACCACACCCAAAAATAACATATTTTCTGCCCAGAGACACGGACACGGCAACACAAAAGAGGCCAAAGGGTGGTAGGGTCAAGGGCCAAGGGTGCACAACAGTGAATTAAACGGGCGAACAACATAAGAAAAGGGACAGACGGATGCATGCCACAGGAGAAGCTGGTCCGCGTCCTTTTTTTTTTTTTTGCTTGAGCGGGAAGGATTTGACGTGACATAAATATCTTTTCCCCCTGGTAGCATGTGAAAAGGAAAAGGATGACAAGGGAAGGGAGAAAGAGGAAAGGGACGGAGGGAAATGTGGAGCGCGCACGAAAGGAACAGGACAACCATGGAACGTATTTGATTGACGTGTTGCAGCTGTGAGGTTTTTTTTGGGTTCATGTCATCCATCCCCTTTATTTTCCATTTGAAAGTGACAAATGTTGAACTCATTTTTCCTTTCATTCGGGCTTTCTTGCTATAATAATCACACTTTATGTGAGTCAATTATGACAAACAACCAGTTTCCCATTTTCTCTTCATAAGACGAGAGAATGGTTAGAGGAGGGGACAAGGGTACAAAGAGAAGTAAAAAAAGGTGGGCGCTTTCTTTTTGTCCTTAAAGGTTTCGTCCAGACTTTATCTCCGCCCAGGAAACGCGTCAAGGAAGGCCGATAGACTGAACAAGGAGGACACGAAGAAAGCAGGACAGAAAGCATTATTCGGAGCATTTATATTTCGCTTGCTTGGCTACTGCTTTGACAACTCCTGTAGATGTTAACCTACATGGAAAAGGTATGCTGTGCACAAGTGTCGATTCTCAAGCAAGGGATGGTTCATTTTGCATGTAAGGTGGTTGTGGCCCATGAGTTTGCATTATTGATTTGCATGGTCGGGGTCACACCAAACTAACAAACAGACAAGGAACTCTGATCCGGGAGCAATAGGGACCCTGTTCAAATGGCATCTGATTTCGGCGTAATGTGCATCTATCCTAATGTTGGATGTGGATCCTCCAGCCAGAAGACCATGAAATCGGAGGATTGGATAGGAATGCGTGAATGCCTGGGGTAGGTATGTGTCTGCGTGGGTGTGCAAAATGAAAGGTGTGGACGGCCTGACTGGCTGGGTGGGTGGTAGGATAATTGGCTGTCGGGACTTGTTGGAGTCAATTCATAGGGTTGCGATATCGCCCTGGGTCGGCCCCTCCAACCTCCGTTTCATCCGCCCGCTTTCCCCCTAGACTTACTTTTTACTCCAAGATCGCCCACCCCCTTCCACACTGCTTTTTTTCTTGTCTTTTTCCTTTCGGGAGTCGAGAAAGAGCCTCAAAACAAATGTGAATTTTTTTTGCGTGGGGACCTCTTCGTTAATGCGCGCATTGGCCATATCCCCAAAAAAAAATGAACAACAATGATGGATTGTGGACAGAAGGAAACTGACCGAGGAACGGATTGGGCGGCACTGTGCATTAGTGGTGTTTGCTTTTGTTTTTGATTGCATTTTGTTTGTCGCCTCTTCCTATGCAAACTGTGTGGTTCCTCCATTCACCCTTTGAACTGGTAATGGTGCGCCTATGACAACTATCCTTCGTGTTTTTTTTGTCTCTTGTGGATTGGAAAGAAGGCGCTTCCTTGCCACCTCACTTCCTGCTATTTTCTCGAAGAGACAAAGCAGAAAGGAGACAGAAAAAGGGCAAGGGGAAGGAGAAGAGAGACTAAGAAACGAAAAGATGGAAAATAACGCGTTCATTCACTCCTTCGGGTAACAGGTTTGGCGATCCTCCTTGATTCTAGCCCGGGCGAAAGTGAAGCAAAAGTCAGGCACGAACTATCCCTTTTTTCCCCAATCGCGTTCTATTTGTTGATTTTTTTCTTCTTGCATTTCGAACAGACCCTGTGTCTATCTCATTTACCATGGACTAGCAGAATCCTTTCCTTCTGTTCACAACCTCGGATATATATGACTCTCCTTGAACTCACCTCCTACCTCCCTTTCTGCTTCTTTCCTTCCTCTTGTTCACAACAGGCAGTATCATAGCTCCGCTTCGAGTATCACGTCTCTGACTTCAATCCCGCTCGCCCTCTTCCTTCTTATATCTCCCCCTCCATCCATCCCCTTTTCCTTCTCCTCCACACTTTCATACTCTTCTTTCTTTTTCTTTTTTTTTTGCGTTTGCCCTTCTGCATGCATAGAGGGGGTTTTTTCTCTATGAAGGACGTGCCTGTCTGTCTGTTTGTCCCCAGAGCCTGTGATTCATTATTACCCATTTTCAAAGTGGTTTGGAAGTCTCTCTTTCTTTTTTGTTGATCAACTGAAGATGGAGAGAGTGCATTGATTTTTCTATACTTTTTCATATGCCCCAACAGAGAAAAAGGGTCAGGGCCAAAAGCCGAGAACGAGAAAAAGGAGGCGGTGTGTTCCTTTCTTGTTTTGCGCGTGTGAGAGACCCTTACCTTTCTTTTGCTTATCCGTTTCCTACGACAAAATTCATGCCTTGTGCTTCCTGTGCCCGCACAAGCCAACGCGGTCGGGTATTTACTTCCGTGTGTACGTTCTGGCCTGCCTGTGTTTATGTATGCCTTTTTTTTATCGCACAAAGTGAAAAGAACGTGCCTCACTTTTCTTATTGCTGCACATGCACACGGCCCACCCTCTCCCCCCACTTTGCCTGTTGGCATCATGCCATTGTCTGGAACTAAAATGCAAAGGGGACCGAGAGTTCTTGTTCGAATGGAGAGGAAGAGATGCTTTCAAAAAGGATAAATTGATCCCTGCCGCCCGTCGTCTGCCAGGCTGTTTAAGGATTCACGAGGTCTCCTCACTCCCCTTTTTTAAAAATACTCTCAACTGTCTACTGGTTTTTTTCTTTTTTTTTGCTGTCTATTGTTTGCCCAATCTATTGAGACGATGGGTACTTGTTTCTTCAATGGCATGCTACCATTTGCTCGCGACAAACGCTGCGGCAGTGAACAGGACGAAAGAAAAGACGAATGAGATATATGCGATTGGTTGTTGTCGGACCATCCCTATCCGTTTTTTTGTGCTTCCTTTCAAGATGGCATAATGATGATGATGATGATGCGGTTGTTGTTTACCATACTAAGAGTGCAAAGAAAAATTGAGATGGGATCTTTTTTTCCTTCCTCCTTATTCAATGCAAACACAGCGCTTTTTTCAGTTGTTCTGTTTGCATGCAACTTGGGACCCTTCCCATCGATAGATTTCTCTTCCCTGGGTGAAATCTTTTAGTCCACGGAGTGATACATGTGTCCATGCTGATTCGCTTCCGTCCTCTGACTCTTCATCATTCAGGGAGGTGCAAGAAAGGAGGCAGAATCAGAATCCG